CCTGAGTAGCTGGGATTACAGGCACGCACCACCATGCCCAGCTAAGTTTTTGTAGTTTTAGTAGAGACGGGGTTTCACCATGTTGACCAGGATGGTCTCGATCTCTTGACCTCATGATCCACCCGCCTCGGCCTCCCAAAGTGCTGGGATTACAGGCTTGAGCCACCGCGCCCGGCCCAATTTGTTCTTTACTCTTTCTGAAACACCCTTCCCCTATATTCTTTCTTTGCCTTCTCATGATTTAGGACTCGCCTCAAATGTAATTTCTTCAAAGAGGTCCTCCCTGGCCACCAAGGCCATTATGTTATGTAGTTCCAGTTGGATCCATTCACTTTTTGTTTTGGAGCTGTGTAGTAATAAGTGGTGGCCTGCAAAACCCATCCCTGGTTAAAATAGCCTCCTCTCTAGACACCCTTCTCTTTTATCCTAGTGTATTCTCTATAGCACTTTTCACTTTGTAAAAATATTGCTGTATTTTATGTATGTATTGTCTGTTTGTCACTGAAATGTTAAGCCCAGGGCTTCTGTATTATTCACCACTCTATTCCATTACCTAGTGCCTAGAACAGTACATGGCACATAATAGGTATTCGGTGAGTATTTGTTTAATAAATGAATGAGTATATAACAGTGGCAAAATAAATTGTCTCTCATGAATGTTGTAGAAAAGCATGCATGAAATATTCATAGGTGAATGCAGAAAGTTTTATATATTGAAAGATGTTCAGGAGTTCAGAAAGTGTCAGGGCAAAAGGTTGGGTGACCAGTATTTCTCATATTTCTTTTTATTTATTTATTTTTCTGGGACAAGTGTTGAGAAATGTTAAGTTACTCATATTTCTTTAATAAGCATCCTTGACCATTTTAAGGGAAGGAATATGTCAGAACTAATGGAATGTTTTCTAGCTTCTTAGAGTGTCACCTGTAGAAGGGAATTTAGGGAATGGATTCTATTTACTTGAGCAACTACAAGTCCTTACCTTTTAAACTCTTCAGTACTGTTTCTCAGGTGTTATACCCGATTTAGTATTAAAATGGAAAAGTCCTTGCCTGGTGCCATTAAATCCATCTATTAGTTTATCCATAGTAGGTGTCAAGTAGATGCCTGTTGAATGAATACATGTCCATTGAATAAAGGCAAGACATTCTCTGGCGATGTAGTGTTAAGACATTGAATTTTGGGTTCATTTGTGTTGTTTCAACATCTATGATAAACCTCTGAATACAGAACTCATTTTTTTTTTTTTCTGTTAGGATGTGGGTACTGCTATTGTTTCAGATACTACAGATGACTTGTGGTTTTTGAATGAATCAGTATCAGAGCAGTTAGGTGTTGGAATAAAAGTTGAAGCTGCGGATACTGAACAAGCAAGTGAAGAAGTAGGGAAAATAAGTGACAAAAAGGTACGTTGTGGAAAAATTTCATGTTGATTCTGTTTGTGCGCTTATGATATGTAATCTGTTCAGATCTCTGTGTATCTCTGTACAGCAGATTGGTTACATAATCCCCTTTTTAACTAACATTTTTCAGTATCCAATTTTAAAATTAATATTAGGCTAACTAGTGCTGCTTGACTTCTACTTTCTCAAAAGCAGTAAGCCCCTCTTTTTTTTTTTCCTCTCCGCTTATAGCAACAAGCTACCTTTATTTTTTTCTCTCTTTGCTAACAAGCTAAGCTGCTAATTAAGCTAGTCCAACCTGCAGCCTGTGGACCTCATGCGGGCCAGAACGGCTTTGAATCAACACAAATTCATAAACTTTCTTAAAACATGAGTTTTTTGCGATTTTTTTTTTTTCCTTGTAGCTCATCAGCTGTCATTGGTATAAGTGTATTTTATGTGTGGCCCAAGACAATTCTTCCAGTGTGGCCCAGGGAAGCCAAAAGGTTGGACACCTGTGTTCTAAATGAATAGTAGCCTGTAGGAGACTTATTTCTTGGAAATCTTGATAGCTTCTATAACCATTTTATACCTAAATGGAAGGTATTTTTTATAGCTATTTTCGAGTTAAAATAGTAGAAAAGAGGGGAGTTAGAACTCTTGAGTACATATTGTATGTGCTCATACATATGGTACGTACTCAGGTACAGATGAAGAGTCACACACGCAGCTTTCTCAAGACTCCAGAGAAACTGGGGAGCAGATCCAGTGCCCAGCATGTAGAAGAGTATCAGTAAACATCCATCAGATAAATACAGCAAAGAAAACCAGACCTAAATTGGGTCATTCTTTTTATTTGTCTAAGGAATTTTCATAGGAATTTTGAGTTCCTGAAGGATACCGTAGTATATTTGTTGTAGTCAAATGATGCCTGGGTTCTCCTAGACTAGTTATATAGGTAGCATTAGAAGGAATGCAGGTGGCTTGAATGAAGACAAAAGCAATATTTGGAAACGTATTTATTTTTGAGGTAGGATCTCCCTGTTTTGCCCAGTTTAGTCTTAAACTCCGTAGCTCAAATGGTCCTTCCACTCCAGCCTCCCAGGTAGTTGGGATCACAGGCATGTGCAACCATACCTGGCCTAGGAGACTTTTTAGAGAGAGATAGGACTTAAAATACTTGACCCTTTGTGAGATTGTTATACAGAGGTTCATAATTGTTTCATAATTGGTTTTATTCCATTTATTGGACTACAAAACTAGGGTTTAAAATTTAAAAATTTGGAAATTTAGAATACTCTTCACTTTTGAAATGGGCTTTTTGTTTTTGTTTCTATGGGACAGCCAGAGTATCACATAACTGGTTTTACTTTTGAATGTGAAAAGTAAAATTTAAAATACTTTGTTTCTTCCTGTCTGCCTAGATAAAAATGTTCAAATTTGGAGCTTTTCTACTCTGAAATTAATAATTACTTATTTTTGGGACAGAGTCTTGCTGTGTCACCAGGCTGGTGTGCAGTGGTGCGATTTTGGCTCACTGTAACCTCCGCTTTCCGAGTTTATGCAATTCTCTTGCCTCAGCTTCCTGAAGAGCTGGCTTTACAGGAGTGCACCACCACGCCCAGCTAATTTTTGTGTTTCTACTAGAGATGGGGTTTTACCATGTTGACCAGGATGGTGGTCTCTATCTTTTGACCTTGTGATCCGCCCACCTTGGCCTCCCAAAGTGCTGAGATTACTGGTGTGAGCTATTTATTTTAAAATTGTTTTAGAGACAGGCCCTTATTCTGTCTCTCAGGCTGGAGTGCCATGGTGAGATCATAGCTTACTGAAAGCTGGAACTCTTGGACTCAAGCGATTCTCTTGTGTCAGCTCCCAAGTAGCTGGGACTACAGGTGTGTACTACCACACCTGGCTAATTTTTTATATTTTGTGTAGAGACAGGGTCTCGCTCTGTTGCCTAGGCCAGTCTCAAACTCCTGGGCTCAAGGGATCCTCTGGCCTTGACCTCCCAAAATGCTGAAATTATAGGCACCTGGCTGTAAAATAGCCACCATGTGCAGATATTTAAAGTAATAAATATGGGCATCTTCTCTCTTCTGAATGCAGAATTTATTTGGTAACACTTCTGGGTGCTTTTCTGTCATTTGTGCTACTACTGAAATGCTAACTAGATATACAGAATCATGTTTGGTCTTGCGTTTAAGCTGTCTCCTTAAGTGCTAGTGATGGAAGCAGAATGTTCATTTTAAATGGAGGCTGTTGTCTTTTTTGATTCTAGGTAATCAGCCTCATCTAAAACAGGTAAACATTACTAATGAGACATTTTGTCTTCACAGGTGATTGAAGTGGGGAAGAATGATGATCTTGACGACTCTAAGTCCTTAAGTGATGATACTGATGTAGAAGTTACCTCTGAGGTATGAATCTCCAGTGAAAGCTATTTTGCACCAGCCCCGTCTTCAGATGATATAATTCCGGCAGTTCGCTTGTGTTGAAGACAGTTGTTCTCCCTCCACCACCCATTTCTCTCGCCCTTGCCTAGTTGCTAAGTGATGTTGGTTTCTTTACATCTTGTAAGAGATTTTTATTGCAACTTAAGGGAAGGGGATAATTCGATCTTATCCTCTCTCTACCATGAAAACAATGAGATTTATGCCTGTGTGTGCCTTTCTCCCTGCCATCAAATCTCTTTGGAGACACAAAGTTACGCAAAATAGTCCTGTGCTGCTTTCCACAACTCAACACCTCTCTGTAATCTGAAAGACCCATAGGCTATCTAAAATTATTTGTTGAATATAAAAATAATATTGTTTTCTTAAAAAGAAGGAAGTGGAAAACAGCTTAATTTCCACACAGATTGATATTAACGGAGGACTATTAAAGATTTGATATTCGGCTTTTGGGTTAATAGGTATGGATTTGTCACTAGTTGATAACTCAAGTCTAGACCCAGATGTATACCTTGCTTTTTACTTGCTGTTTCCCCGTGTTTCTTTTAGTCTTGCCACAGGTAATACACTGTGGAGAAAAGGTTGTTGGAAGAAGGATAAGAAGGAGATTTTATATTTGCTGCTTGGAGAGAGAAACGTTTTTAGGTTGTTTCTGGTGTTGATAGTTTCCCCCACTTCCACCACACCACTGTTGACCATTGTGGTAGTTCATTGCCAATTATCTGTGTGTAGCTTAGTAATAAAGTGAACTATATTGGTCCAGTAAAAGTGTTCTTGACCATAATACAAATAACCAAGATAAATGTTTCCATATTAATCAGACTTTTGTGGCTACTTGGGCCCAGAAAACTGTTAAGCAAATGGATGCCATTGAATTTAATAAGCCCTATTATCTTATGTACTACTAATGAAAAGTGATGCCAGTTAAACTATGGCACAGCATCAGTCACAAATTCCAAATCTTTATGAAGTTCCTTTGATTATTTGTACAACATTTTAAATGAGATTGGAAGATCTCAGACTGGCAAGAGTATTTTGAGGCTGTCTGGAGTATATCCCAGTTTAACACATGGTTGTACCCCTGCCTCTCAGTCTGGACAATTGAGTTATTTATGACTTCTATACCCGAAGTGCTCAGCCTTTGACCTGAAAGTAATAAAGTTCAGCTTATGTCAAATCATTGATCCTGTCACAGCCAGGCAGTTAACCACATTAGTCTTACTTGTTCCCTATAGCTATTTTTGAATTAAGCAAAGCATTTAAAATTCATTGAGATCTAGTGTCTGTCTCCTAATTTGAATATGGAAAAGTAGAGAAAAATTACTTGGCATTCAAGGACAAGAACATTTATTTTTCAGAGAGCACGATTTAGGCATATAATTATACCTGTAATCCTGGGTGCAATGAGAGTGCATGAGTAAATTTAGTAGTTTTCAAATCTCATTTGTTTTAGCTTTCTTTTTTGCCAGATTTTATAACATTTGCTATTAGTGTAGAAAAGAATGACAGAGTAGTCTCTTCATTCTTCAGCCTCTTGCCTGGTAAAGGGGTAAGTTGTACAAAGAAAAATAACCCCAAAGAAGGCCATAAGGTACAGTAAACAATGTATATTTCATCCAGACGAGGTAGGAACCCAGAATAATTTAACTTTTCTTAAAGATAGCTATATCAGATTGTGGCTTGAAAATAGCAGCTGTGGCACTATCAGTGTAAGTAAAACTTCCAAAGGCTTTCCTTCACATGGCTGTAGAATTTGCTCAAATCCTAGGCTAGCTCACTGGTGTAGAATGTCTGGACTATCACTAGCTTAGTGAGAGGATGTGAATGAATTTGACCTCCTTTCCTTTTTCTCAGCATCATATTCACCCCTTGAGTATTAATTGGCTTCACTTGTCTTTGTAGAATGAGTGGCAGTGTACTGAATGTAAGAAATTTAACTCTCCAAGCAAGAGGTACTGTTTTCGTTGTTGGGCCTTGAGGAAGGATTGGTATTCAGATTGTTCAAAGCTAACCCATTCTCTCTCTACATCTGACATCACTGCCATACCTGAAAAGGAAAATGAAGGAATTGATGTGCCTGATTGTCGAAGAACCATTTCAGCTCCTGTCGTTAGACCTAAAGATGTGTATATAAAAAAAGAAAACTCCAAACTTTTTGATCCCTGCAACTCGGTGGAATTCTTGGATTTGGCTCACAGTTCTGAAAGCCAAGAGACCATCTCAAGCATGGGAGAACAGTTAGATAACCTTTCTGAACAGAGAACAGATACAGAAAACATGGAGGATTGCCAGAATCTTCTGAAGCCATGTAGCTTATGTGAGAAAAGACCACGAGATGGGAACATTATTCATGGGAGGACAGGCCATCTTGTCACTTGTTTTCACTGTGCCAGAAGACTAAAGAAGGCTGGGGGTTCATGTCCTATTTGCAAGAAAGAGATTCAGCTGGTTATTAAGGTTTTTATAGCATAATGGTAGTACGAATATAAAAATGCATTTATTCAGTTCACATCACATTATTTGAAGATCAATCCTTTATTTAATTTTATTTCCTACTTGTCTGTTAGAGAATGTTCTTAGGTATTAAAATCCAAGGTAGCTGTGAGAAAAAAACGGGCACCAACAATGAAAAACAGAAGTAATCTGATTAGTTAAATTATGAAGTGCTGTGGATTACTTTATGCCGCAGTCAGGTACATGGTTAAATGAACCCAAAAGAAAAGCTCTTGAAAAACAAGAGATTTCTTCCATGCACATTTACAATATTGAGGTATAAGTAACATGATAAAGTGTTTCCTTCTAACAAGTTGTAAAAATCTAACCACCCCATAAAAGCAATAGAATGTTTCTGTCGTCCTAAAACACTCCCTCCTACCCCTTTTCAGACAGTCCTTTGACTATTTCATGGCTCTCAGCCTAGATTAGTTTTTTGGTTGCACTTTTTTGGGGGGTTGTAGGGGAGGTGTGGGGCGACAGGCAGGGTCTTGTTCTGTCTCCCAGGCTGAAGTGCGGTGCGGTGGTGTGATCATGGCTCACTGCAGCCTTGGTTCCTGGGCATAAGTGGTCTTCCCACTTAAACCTCCTGAATAGCTGAGACTATAGACTAGCATAACAACACTGACTAATTTTTTTTTTTTTGTCATTAGAGTTCTTTTATTACAGAGGCCACTCTGCACTCCACAATTACACACTTACACAACTCCATCTTACCAAACACTGTAGAATCTCACAGGGGGCCAGGCCTGGTGGCTCACGCCTGTAATCCCAGCCATTTTGGAAGGCTGAGGCAGGTGGATCTCATGAGGTCAGGAGTTCTAAGACCAGCCTGACCAACAGTGTAAAACCTCATCTCTACTAAAAATACAAAAATTAGGCAGTCATGATAGTATGTGCCTGTAATCCCAGCTACTCAGGAGTACTTAGGAGGCTGAGGCAGGAGAAATGGTTGAACCCAGGAGTCGGAGGTTGCAGTGAGCTGAGATCATGCCAAATTGACTCCAGCCTGGGCAACAGAATGAGAAAGCGTCTCCCTAAGTACTCCTGAGAAAAAAAAAAAAAAAAATTCAAGAACCTCACAGGTTTTAGATAACTGTCCTTGCGTTGTTCTTCACACTGGGTCCCTGGTGTTGAATTGAAGCAACTCCTTCCAAGTTCCTTGCCCATTAATTAGCCAGGCCACTCTCCACATTGTCACAAACATTGTATTAACTGAAAACCTGGCGCATGCCATAATCCATCACGAGAGATTATTTTTAATTAGATTAAATTCCGGTGTTAATGCAGAAAACCTGGTAGAGATTGAATTGCTATATGTAACTGTCTTAGTTCTCTTCTTCATATCATATTTTGACCATTTATCTTCTACATCTGGCTGACCTGCATGTTCTTGTAGTGCAACTTCTATTTGGTGTTTGCGCTTGGCTTTGTTTTCAGATTTAAATTGTGACATACATTTTCAAACCTATCTAAGAAAGAACCCTGATACTGAAATGGCTTCTGTAGAAGAGGTTTGACAGATGTAAGTCTTTGATTATTTGGCTTTGATTTTTGTGCCTGTTACAGTTTTACACACTTTCATTCAGAGAAAGACATTACCATCAGTGTGTTGTTTCTTTTTTCAAATTCCATTGTGTTTTTAAAGACCCATATTTCACTAAGCAGTATACTTGTTGAAACTGATGTGAGTGACTTTATGTTTCCACACGTGTTAGAGCGTCACATACCGGAGTTTGCCAGGGGTAGAATGGTTGGATTCAGGAATGTTTAGCTGACTCATTGCAGGAAGTTATCCTGTAATCCCAGCTACTTGGGAGGCTGAGGTGAGAGGATCAGTTGAGCACAGGAGGCTACAGTGAGCTATGATCATGCCACTCCACACCTGCTTGGATGACAGAGCAAGACCTGCTAATGAAAGGATAACGTTGCAAAAGAGCACTGGCTAATGTTTTAATGTTTTGTGGAGATGAAGTCTCACTGAGTTGGTCTCGGACTCCTGGGGTCAAACAGTCTTCACACCTCAGCCTTCCAAAGTGCCGAGATTATAGTCAGGAGCCACCTAGTCTGGCCCTTTTGCAAGACTTTAATCTGACTTCTAAATTTTTAAAATTTAAGTACTTACAAAGGATATACTATCCAACCTATTGCATATTATATATGTGCTTTAAAGATTTTTGTTTTTTTGAGAGACAGGGTCTCACTTTGTCATCCAAGCTGGAGTGCAGTGGCACAAACACTGCCCACTGAAGCCTCAACCTTCTGGGCTCAAGTGATCCAGCCTCAGCTTCCATCACACCTAGTTAATTAAAAAAATTTTTTTTTGTAGACGCCATCTCTTTATGTTGCCCAGGCTGGTCTCAAACTCCTGGGTTTAAGTGGTTTCCCTGTCTCAGCCTCCCACAGTGTTGGGATTACCGCCATGAGCCACTATGCTTGGCTTAAAGATATACATGTATTTTTCCCTTACACACACACAAACCCTTGCAGATAGGCTTAAAGATATTTTTATGAAAGCCTTGAGGCTGTAGATTTAGCTGATTAAATTTATAGAAAAAAAAATCCTGTTGTATAAACTGGCAAAGCCTGTACTCAGTTTAAAATTAATCAGTCAAATCAGACTTAACTTCAGTCAGAACATGTCTTGGTTTTAATTCAGATAAACACACAAACATACTTCTCTGCATAGCCTTCAGAAGGATCAGTTCTTTTTTTTTTTTTTTTTTTTTTTTTTGGAGAAAAGGTCTTGCTTTGTTGCCCAGGCTGGAGTGCATTGGCACAATCACAGCTCGCTGCAGCCTTGAACTCCCAGATCCAAGTAATCCTCCCACCTCAGCCTCCCAAGTAGCTGGGACCATAGGTGCATGCCACCATGCCCAGCTGATTTTTGTGTTTTTTTGTTCCGATAGTGTTGTGCCATGTTGCCTAGGCTAGTCCCAAACTCAGGTTCAGGCAACCCTTCTGCCTCAGCCTCTTGGGATTATAGTCCTGAGCTACCATCCCCCACACTCTTTGCCTCTTTGGAGTTAACCTAGATTTTTTTTTTGACCCCTTTGTTTAGTGCCTCTGGAGCTGCTTACAGCAAGGCAATGCCCTTTGGTTGATACTGGTTGGTTGACAGGCAGTCTGTTGTGTGTTTTTTTGTTTTTTGTTTTTTGTATGGCTGTTGTGACAAGGGAATTAAAGAGAAATGGTAGATATGAAGAGGCCTCATCAGAGCTCATATTTTAGGATAAAACATATGGAAATTGGAGGTCTTTAAGTTGGTTTCCATATAGTGATGCATGTGTCCTTACCCCATGGGAAAATGTTGGTGTATCCTCAAGGGTATGTATGTGTCATTTTGAAGACCAAGGCGCTAGAGCTGACAAACTTAAGGATTATAAAATTCACCTGGGTTGCTTGTTAAAAGTGCCTAAAGCCCAAGAGACTGATCCCTGAGCTCTGGACCAGGAATTTGCATTTGAACAAGTATTCCTTGAATATCTTTGCAAGTTTTATACAGAGCATGCTTTTGGAATCCTTTCGCTAGACAGAGGTGTCCAATCTTTTGGCTTCCCTGGGCCACATTGGAAGAAGAAGAATTGTCTTGAACCACACACAGAATACACTAACACTAATATTAGCTGATAAGCTTAAAAAAAAAAAGTTAAAAAAAACTCATCTTGTGATTTTTGTTTTGTTGTTTTTGTTTTTTTTTTGGAGACAGTCTTGTTCTGTCACCAGGCTGAAGTAGAATGGCGCTAGCTTGGCTCGCTGCAACTTCCACCTCCCAGGTTCAAGTGATGCTCTTGCCTCAACCTCCTGAGCAGCTGGGATTACAGGTGTCCACCACCACACCCGGCTCGTTTTTTTATTTTTAGTAGAGACAGTTTCACCATGTTGGCCAGGCTGGTCTTGACCTCCTGACCTTAGGTGATCCAGCCGCCTCGGCCTCCCAAAGTGCTGGGATTTATATCTGGGTATTTCTGTATTGGCTGCATATATGTTTAGGATCTTTAGCTCTTCTTGTTACATTGATCCTTTTATCTTTATGTAATATCATAAAGATATTACATAAAGATAAGAGTTACTACTAGAATGCAAGTTTCGAACTACTATGT